ACTGCCATGGCTCTGCAAACCCCTTTGGAGCCCACCGACCCCTGCAGACTCTGCCCCTGCAGTTGACCGCTCACTTCCGGCTCGCTTCCCTCCCCTGGCCATGCCCTGTCTCCATCAGCCCTCCAGTAGTGAGCTGTGGGACAGTCCTTCCTCTCTTGCTGTTTTTCTCTTTCCATCCACCAGCTCATCTCTCTTCCTGGGGTGTGAGGAGACGAATATCCATCAAACATTATTGTATGGTTCATAATAAAGTAGTTAAAATACGTCCTTAATGAGGCAAATTTCGTGAGGTCTTGAAACAAGAAAGCGACACCTTTTCTGAGACACGGCCCCGCTAGGCAGTGAAGTAAGAGTGACCCCATACACTGTGGTGATGAGCCAGGCAAACAGTGGGCTTCTTGTACACACAGCAGGTGCCCAGAAAATGATGAGGGAAAAAGTTACAATCTTCAGGGATTTCAGGACACCAGAACAACAGGGTTTTCTTTGAGAAGGATGAGACAAATGTATGTCCAGCAACAGAAACAAATTCAGAGGAACTGTCTGAGGTTAAAAAAAAATAGTTGGGTTTGCGTACCTTGTATTTTCCTTTAAAAAAATGATTCTACCACTTTCTGCGTGTCTTATTAAAGGAGTCAAACATCCTCTTGTTTAGCCTGAATTCTGTGGTCGCTGCTTACACTGTTTTGTTCTCAAGGCCATGAAGTAAGAGTCAATATTCCCCCTTTAAAGTAGGAGGCAGGGCAGGCATGGCGGTGCACATCTGTAATCCCAGCACTGGGGAGGCTGAGGCAGGAGGATTACCTCAAGTTTGAGGCCAGCCTAAACCTACATAGCAAGACCCTGTCTAAAAGCAACAACACAAAACCAAAAAAAAAAAAAAACTTTAAAAACATAAACTAGGAGGGGCTAGGGATTTCGCTCAGTAGTTCCACCACCTGCCTTGCAAACGCAAGGTCCTGAGTTTGATTCCTGGTACCAAAAAGGAAAAAAAAACAAAAAAAACATAAACTAGGAGGCAGTGACTTTTGGAGAAATGTGTGTTTGTCCCTTCGCTTTCCTGAGCTCCCTTACACATGCAGCTAGCTGTTTTCCACTTTTCTTCTAGCCGGTCTCTTAAAACACAGAGACCTCCAAATGCACACAGCCTGGGAGGGGCGCTTTCTCCTGGGGTTTCTGAGGCATCATGGCTACTCCTGCTGCCTTCCTGTCCTCCCCACGATGCCGGGAGTGCATGCCCAGGGAGCACTTTCTCTTCAACTGCACCATGTAGGGAGAGCGCAGGAAGTGGCTGGGAGCTCGGAGCCCCCACCCCACTGTGCGCCAGCTGCTGCAGCGAGCCAGGGTCAGCACTACGCACCTGGCGCTCGGCCTCAGCCTCGCTTCCCTCCACGCCCGCCGGCCCCTGAGGGTCCTCGCAAGCACGAGAGAGAGCAGAATAGACCGACGGTGCCTGACTCGATTCCCAGAAGCTCTCACGGTGAAAGACCGAGGGTCCCCCAGAGGCTCCCCTCCTCCCTTGGAGCACACTCACCCCATCGTCCTGGCTGCTTCCTGTGGCAGCTCTGGAGTCCTCTTTCCTGAGGGTCTTTATGAGATGTGACCAAAATACAGTGCCTGCTGCCGCCAGACGCCATCTGATGGAAGGGCTGCTGTGTCCACCTTACTCACTGGATCTGGCACCCTTGCGACTTCTGGCTCCTCCCCAAAGTCCAAGTGACCATAAAAGGGAAAGGTTTTGAACGATTCGGGACATAGAGGCAGCAGGGAACAGCACACCTGAAGACCCCTGCCTGAGGTGGGGACCAGGCTCTTCAGACTCGGCGCCTGGTCCGTGTCCCTTCCCTCCAGGCCCCGGGGAGCTCCTCCTCCTCCTCCCTGGTCTGCTCACTTCTGCTCTCCAGCCACGCCGGCCTCTTTGGTGTCCCGAGGGACGCTCCTCGGAGCACAGCTCCTGCTCCCCACTCCGTGTCTTCTGTCCCCATATCCAGCAGCCTCCCTCTCTCCCTCCCGTCTCCTCCCCGCTCCCTTCCTTTCCTCCTTCCGTCCTTGTTCATTCTCCCACGATGGAGCCCTAGGGTTGGGTCTCACCTGTGCCCTTCTCACCCGATCCCAGAGGATCCCCAGCCCTCTTCATGCTCAGTCAGCATCACTGAATTGCCCAAGCCGAATGAAGGGGTCCAAGGATGCCGATTCGAGACAGAGGGCACCACTGTGGTCCTGACCTCGCCCCGAAGGAAGCTGAGACAGGAGGCACCAGCTGCAGGTGCCGAGGCTTCCTGCTCACCGTCCTGGCTGTAGATGGAGTGCAGCAGGGACCGCAGGGGACAGCAGAGGTGGCCCGGGGTAAAGTCCCGAGGCCGGCTCTTGGTGGTGGCATCATGGGATCGTGCCCTTCTACACCAGAGGTGCCACCATGCAGGTGACACTGAGGTTCAAACACAGGGGCTTTAAAATCCCACTAAGTGCAATATCTCAGCCCTGTCTAAGATGATGTTTTTGTCTTTTCAGTTGAAATGTCAGAATTATACCATTTTAAGTGTCAAAAGAACAATATAAAATGAGGGGGAAAAAAAGCACCAAAGGCAAGATTTTCCTTCTGACTTGTTCATATTGTATTCAGATACTGGAATTGCATCAATTAAATTCTTGATAATTAACAAAGTTCTCAAATGAGGCAATTATCGAAGAGAATAAAGAGGTGATTTGAGTGATTGCATTGCATCGCGGGAGTGGGCTAAGCGGCAGACACCTGGGTCTTGCTGGGGTCACGAATGAGTCTCCATCTTCAAGCCCTGAGCTCCCGCTGCAGGATGCAGCCACTGAGGCCAGCAGATCAGGACCTCACTCTGCACTGCTGTGAGGGCCGGGACTGTGGATTTTCCCACTCCAGCTTTACACAATCGGTGTCTAACGAGCCCAGGTCCCAGTTGGATGCTTCTCCTGGACTCAGCCCAGGCAGTGGAAAGACGGTGTCTGTGGCAGCTGCCCAGGTTCAGACCCCAGCTCGGCCCCTTGTCCCTCCCATGTCCCTGCGAGTCACGGACACACGTGGACAGCTCAAAGAAGTGGAAATTCGCCTGTTCACATTGCTGGAGGCGGCAAGTCCAAAGTCCAGTCAGCAGGGCCACCACCAGCAAGACTCGGAGTCCAGTCCTGCTGGCCGCGTCCCAGCCCCTTGCGGTGGCCCTCGGTCCTTGGTGCTCCTTCCTAGTTCTGCCATCGCTGCATAGTGTTACGCTGGGGTCTCACTTCCGGTCTCCTCTCCTTGTTCGGACGTGTGTCATGTTGACTTGGAGTCACCCTAATTACTTCTGCAGAGACCCTACTTCCAAATAGGCCACATGCTCTGACGATTCAGGAGGACAAAAGTGACCCTGTGCCGTCATCTCTGTACTTGGACAGGTAACTTAATTCCCCTGAATCCCTGCTGCCTTATGGTACCCAAAGGGGAGATCAGGCGGGCTCCTTGCTTCCGGGAGGGGCCTGTGCCCTCATCCAGGGAACACGACTGGCTTCCTGTCCCCCCCCACTTCCTGTTCCGCGGCCTCTGTGATCAGTCACTCCTCTCACTTGCTCCCTGCGAAGGCAGATCTAGTGGACACTGTGGGCTCCGCACGTGGTCCCGAGCCCTTGGAGGGAGGTCTGCTTTGGAGTAGAACTGCTCCTCGTCTGGAGAACGCAGGCAGCCCGGCCTGACGGACCTTAACCCCAGTTCCGCCCATTGCACTGATGCAGTGCACAGCCCCGGCTTCTCGCCTGTTCACCACCTGAAGGAGGGCTCGCCGCCGAGCCAGCATGACCCGGGCAGACGCACTGCTGTGTGGCGGCATCGTGAGGGCTCGCAGGCCCCTCCGGGGTCCACACTGAGCCCACGGCACTGCCCAGCCCCCACCCGCGTGCGTCGTGTGTCCACTGGCTGCGGCCAATCCCAGTGACGGCCGCGAAGAAGCAGCTGCCAGGCTCAGCGTCTGCCGTGGAAGCGGTCACACGTGTCCCTACCCCGAAAATGTGCTGGTGGGAACACGAACTGGGGCACTCGCTGTGGGAGTCAGCGTGGAGGTTTCTCAAAATCAAAACTAGAAATTCCACTCAATGCAGCTATTCCCCTCTGGGCGTCTTCCCAAAAGAGTTACAGACATTTTATCACAGTGATCCGTGCACACCCATGTTTATAGTGGCACAGCTCAGAACAGCTAAATCTTGGCAGTGGCCCGTGCTTGGATAAAGAACACGTGGTTTCTACATCCAGTGGAGCACTACGCTGCCACGAAGAAGGTGCACTTGAGTCCTCTGTAGGAAAACAGAGGCCCCTTGAGACCACCATGTCCAGTGAAATCAGTCGGACGCACAAGCTTCAGTGTCACATGGCCATGGTCTCTGGCCATCGGAGTTACCCACATTATACATAAAGAGCAAAACAAAAGATAGCTAATAAAAAGTATGGAGGCAGGTCTTTCTAAAATAGGAAGAGGATTAAGAGATGGAGGGAGGGGAAGGAAGGACAGAGGCAGTGGATGAAAAGGAATAAAGATGTGTTCTGTCCGTGCCCCAACTCCACACAAGAAGTGTAGACGTCGTGCACTGTAAACACGGACCGATACAATAACAACAAGTGTTGAAAGTCATTTTTGAAAACTGGGAAACTTATGTGGCTGTGAATTTCAGTTAGGGAACGGGAGATCACTACTCATAGGTTCTCAGAGCAAAGTAGATATATAGCTGACAGGTAACCGAATAATTTTTATTCTCTTCAAATATTCTTTGAACAAAAGATCTGCATCCCTGTGTCAGCACTGAACTTGAAGTGGAGGCTGTGTGTCTGAGTCATTTCTAAGTCATTGCCTGTAAAGCTACGGTCCCTTCACAGTGGGCTCCGTGTGTCCAGTGGGCGGGAGGTAGGGGTTTCTGGGGTAAAATGAGGGCCTCCTGAGCCTGTGTGACCGGATGTCCCTCAGATGCAGTAACCATAACCGTCCTTGCTGCTGTCCTTTCCGCAGATACAAGCCGTTGGCCGAGACGCTGCCAGGCGAGAAGAAGGAGCCGTCCGCAGAGGAGAGATGCCGCCTGGTTCTCCAGCAGTGCAGGCTCCAGGGCTGGCAGGTTGGTAACTTGGGACTCGGAATGCCAGGCGGGATGGCAAAGGCAAGGGGCCCTCAGGCGGACATCCATGTCCCCAAGTGCCTCGGTCTGCAAACTTCAGGTGTTGCTATCATGCAGCCAACACAAGGGGATCCCGAGAACACCCAGAGTGGGGTGAGCAGCCTGGGGACCCCATGTAGTTCACCTACATGGCAGCCTCACCTGGTCCCTAAAGAGTCTGAAAGGATCTAGAAAGTAGCTGTAACAGCTCTCAGTCACTAGGACGCAACAGCTGGGCATACAGTGTGCAAGGGTGCGAAGTTCATTCTTGCCAAAGACTGGATGCGGGGGTGAGGAAGATGAGGAATAGCTGGGTAAGGATGATGGCAGACACTCTGGACTCGGTGACGCAGCTTGGGTTGTCATCTTGTAGGTACCGGAAGTCGTTTCCACTGAATCATTGCTGGGATTTTTTGATAAGGAGTTGTGTGTGTATAGTATTGGTTCGTGGATGATGTGACACCGAGATGACCGGGTTGCTGCTTTCTCCCTGTAAAGAATGCTTTTAGATAGGAATGTACCCTGTACACATATGAACATACGAGTACGTAGGTACGTGAGCAAGGAGTCGGGAACGAATTCTCCCACTGAGAAAGTGTTGGCGGTAAGCGCGGACCCAGCCCGGGCCCCGTGCACAGGTGGAGGTTGGCCATGGACACGGGAGAGCTTGGTGCCCCCTGACAGACGGGGACTTGAGGCAGCAGCTGAGGACAGTGTCCTGTACACGCGGTGCACTGAAGCTTTGCAGATGAGCGTCAGTTTTTCAAAAGAGAAACTGCTTCCATTTTCTTACACAGATCTATTTTCTCCTTATTGTTTTACATCCCCAGAGGAGGCTGAAAGTTTGCCGGGGTGGGGGACACAGAATAAAAGAGACAGAGAGCGAGGAGAGGAGGAGGCAGAGGCGGAGGAGAGGCTCAGATGCAGTCTTGGCCGCCGTGTACGCATTGTCTTGCGAGTGAACACTGCTCTTCTCCAGCTTAAAGACAGAACCTTTTATGTATTTTAAGCAAACAGTTGACTCTGCAGAAACCAAGTATGTTCGTAACTCACTTTTACATTAGACGTGAGAAGCTGCTTCTCCCTGAGCTGGAGTCGGCCCCCTGTGCCCAAGCGTGGCCCGCCAGGAAGCTGGTGGCGAGAGAGGAGCCCTGGCGCAGACGGGCGCACCTGCGGGCTGTTCCCAGCCTGCACATCACGGCGCGAGCTTTTGTTAGCAGACAGTGCTGCTCTTGCCCTGGGGTGGTTAGCGTAGGGTTGATGACATTCTTGTCCATATCTTTAGAGCCATTCTGAGCGATGGGAGAAATTGGAGTCACTTTTTGCTGTGTAAAGCTGCATAGAGTATTAGCTAAAAATTCTATTTTCTTAATTGAAAATAGCATTTTATTACTGTAATGGGACATGGAGATCTTGTGGATTTTGTCACCCTTCCTTAAATTTAATCAGACCACCTGTGAGAACCGCCTTAAATCAACAGAATAGGAATCCAAATAGGAAATTCTCACACTCCATGAATACAGTGCAGTGATCCAGAATTTCCTTGTTTCAGGACAGATTCCACCACCACCACCCCCCGCTTCCTTTCTACTTGTTTGTACGTGTGTGTGGTACTAAGGATTGAACCCAGGCCTTCTCACTGAGCTACATCTATTCCCCCTTATTTGTTATTGTATTTTGTTTTGCTTTATTTTTGTGTCCAGGGCTCATTAAGTCACTCAGTTGCCAGCCCTGGGCTTGAACTTGAGATGCTCCTTCCTCAGCCTCTCAGCCAGCTGCTTTACAGGATGCACCACCACACCAGTGGAGCCATCTAACCTTTAGTGTGTGGCGTTGGCCAGGACCACACACACTGTGTTCTTTTTTTGTTTGTTTTTTGTTTTTTGGTTTTTTGAGACAGGCTGTCACTCTGTAGTTCAGACTGCTCTGGAACTCACGATGTAGGCCGGGCTGGTCTGGTACTCGCAGTGATCCTCCTGCCTCAGCCTCCCTTTGCCTCAGTGCTGGGATTACAGGTGTGCGTCACCACGCCTGGCCCACACTGTGTTCTTCATAGGGATCTGGAGGCAAGTGTGAGGAATGCTTCGTAAATACCAACACTGATCAGAGCAGCGGTGCAGTCGGAGCCGCCCTTGCAGAGGCCGGCAGGCTCCCTCCCCATGCTGCTGTCCTCCCACAGCGTCCATGCAGCTCTGATCTTTTAAATTCCCAATCTGGCATCGTTTTGTTCAGATTTCAGAACCCAAAGGGGACGGACCGTACACCCTGGCCTCGCTCTGTCTGTGGCCCTTCATCTAGGCAGCCCACTGCTGGTCCCTGGGACCTTCTGCAGGTCTGGAAGTCATCGGAAGGGAAAGAAAGCCAAGCAGTGCTTGTCTGCAGGCGGACTCCGATTGATCAGAGTCCCTCATCCCCAGACCGACCGTCGCTCCGCCGACCCTAGGGACACAGCGCATTGCAGTCGGGTACCAGGTGCACCCTGGAAAGCAGGGGAAGAGGAGAGGGAAACAGCCAGAGGCAGGCAGAGGAGAAGAAAGGCTCATGCTCTGAGCTCTCCTGCAGCCACAGTGGGGCCGGGACAGGAGCCGGGGGGACACAGCAGCCGGGGTGGAGTCTGCACCAGGCCCGTGTGCAGGGAGGTTTGGTGGCGGGGTTCTTCCCACAGTGTCTGGGCCATACTTTAAGTACGGGCTGTGTTGTAGGTGCAAATCAATTATGGTAAGCCTTTGTGACAAAGCCATTCCATTTTTCTGGGAAACGTTTTTGCTTCTAAGACATCACTTCCGCTTTGATCTTTACTCCTGACAGGAAGCCTGGGCCCCCACACCTTGTGAACTGGGAACCACAAGTCTTGGCAAACGCATGCATATTACCTGTCCCTTGTACTCAAGATCTTTGTTTTATGTAATGTGCCATTATTTTAGAGAAAAGTGAAGACATCAAGCTATAGCGATGGCTGTGGGAGAATCCTTCTTGGTTGTTTCCCATTCGTGTTGATCATGGAATGATACAGTTTAAAACTAGAAAGGCTGCCAGGGCTGTGTCCTTATTTAAGAGACAGAATTTGGACAACTTCTCTGCTGAGAGAAAGGGAAGATTCTTTAAACGGTTGGAATGGAATCAGCAGGACTGACTTCCGGTCCTGTGTTGTCTCCCCAGACATTTTTTCTTTACGAAGTACCCATAAATGACTTCGTGTGGGGAAAAAAACGAATAGTTCTTAACCATCTGTTGTTTGTTTTATTGTCATTATCATCCTGGCATTTTATTTCTCTAAGCAGATATATTGTAACTCAGGGCTACCATAAGGTCTCTGTCCCGGTCTTCTCTTCTGAATTCTGTGTTTCTTTCGGGTCACTCCCGTGTTTTTACCAGAATCACCTCGCGCCCGGGGGAAGGGTCCGCCAGGCATCAAGGCCAGAGTGGAAGGGGTTGTTTTGCGTGTGATGTCATTTATGGAAAATGAAAACTTTTGAAACCACTTCTAAATGGAGCAGTAAGTGGTATAAGCTGATTTTCGCACGTTTCGTCCGCATCCCCCTGTTATAGGTTGGTTTCTTCTCTGTGGTTAACTGAGTGCTATATTCATTTCCAGCCATCTGGAGGGATGACGGATGGAGAGCGAATCTGTCAGAGCGGCCCACGGGCCCCTGCAAAGTCCCGGTGCCCTGGGCGCGGGGCGCGGCGGGGCCCGCAGTGGGAGAGCTTGCAGATGCAGCGGCTGTGCGAGGGGTCTCGGGGGAGTGGGAGGAGCGGACAGGCCGGGGGCTTCCCAGGGGCGAAGGTAGGGCAGGATCCCCGAGTCCAGCCTCAGCGGCAGAGGGCAGGCAGAGACAGGAAGCGGACGGACAGGAGAACTTAGCTTCACTGCCGCGCCCACGGGATGTGATGCTGATGTGTGTGGGCACACGGGGGCGGGGCTCAAAGAAACTACGAAGCGCACTCAAAAGGAAAAAAACCAAACCTCACATTTTAGTGAATCGTGCCTTCCCCCCTTCTGCCTGTTCATTAACAACAACAAAACCCTTCACAATCATTGCTTCAGCATCAATCGTTTTCCTCCTGTAACTTTCGCGGAGCAGCCGAGATTCCATTATGTGTCTATGATGTCTGAAGGATTCGCCCTCACAGGTGCTGAGAATTGCAAGATTAACATTTTACCATAACATTAAATAAAATCAGTTGGAGGAAGGATTTATTATTTCATTAATCTAAAATAGTACAGTAAAGATAATAAAAGTAAGAGCAAAAAACTGTTCAAGTTTTAACCATCTCCTACTCTTCTTCCTTTTACATCTTCTGAGATGATACAATGGTATTAGGACCCTCGGCTCTTATTAGTTCAATAAATTAATGGTTTATAAGCCTCATTTTATTACTGCAGGAGCACTCCATAAATCAGCTATAAGCACAAGCTGGAAAATAGCCTATAAAATGATTCTTTCTCTATTTTTCCTCTGGAATTGTCAGTGCTGAAAAGATAAACCTAAGAATTTCAGAGTATTTTTGAAATGAGTATTCTAACTGGAACTGCTGTATATATGTACTTTTCTTTCTTTTCTCTTACATTGAACACACACCTGCACACATTCCTACACATCTCTACCAACACAGTCTTGATAAGAAATTTGAGAAGTTAAAAAAAAATTAAAAAGAAAATACAGACTCTCCAGTACCTATGACAACTACCTCAAATGTTTGGAGTAGGTTTGTTCACTCAGTTTTTAAAAATAATATTACGTATATTATGATTTTTATACACCATGTCTCTTTTCATGCAGTTTTACTGAAGTTTTCTCGTGTGCGTGTAACTCCTATGTCCCACACAGGGGGTCTGGCATGCAATATATATATTATTTAACTAGTGTTTGCTGAATGAATGAATGAACCTCTACTTGTCGTCACATTTCCCTTTTGAAGGTATCGTGACTGGGTTTTGGTGACAGCTGTGATAGCTTTTT